AGTCTACATACATTACCTGTTTTGGCGCCAAATGATGATGTATGTATGGCAGTTAATTGAGTGACAGTTAATATGGTTCTCTGATGGTAAGAACCACCAAAAACATTGTTATATACAATCTCTCGCATCATCATGGAAGTCTCTGTATGATCGAATTGTCTTGATTGTCTTAAAAATCAAGACGATTAAGAAATCCACATGTCACCCAAGTGATTCTGGATCACAGTGATTCAAGATACTATCACAATAGTCAAAGAATCACAACATAAAATTAAAAATTGATGGTGGATGTTTTGATTCACATACTGTCACAACAGTTTGATCGAAACATTCACTTGACTGTATCAAAATTTCGAACCATGATACGCTTTCTCAAAGGGGAATCAAATTCGAAATTGATATCTCAGTCTTGATCAAGTGGTTAAACTATTTTATAATTAATCACTTATACGGATTATGTATGACTGGTTACAAGTACATATAATTGATATAGAATAAATTTGCTTCTTGATTCAGGATCACCAAGTAAAACAGATAGACAACAATTTCTATCTCACTCAGCCCATTATCCCATGAGTTTAGTCAAATTTGCACCTTTAAATGGTGTTAACTACAAGAAATGGAAGGAGGACATTGAACTCATGTTAGTAATCCTAGATTATGATCACGTCCTTAGGGAGGACCCACCAATAGAACCAGCAAATAATGCAGCCAAGGAAATAAAACTTAAGCATCAAGAGTGGCATAAACACAATAGGATAGCCTTAATCTACATAAAGAAATGTATCAATGATGTTGTTAAGGGAGGAATTCCAGAATCAGACCTTGCTAAAAGTATACCTTGCATCAACTGCTGACAAGTACAAGGTTTCTGATAAAGCTGAGACAGGCTATCTAATGAACAAATTAATAAGAATGAGCTTCAATGGACAAGGCAGTATAAGAGAATACATTCTACAAGGAATTGACACTGCTTGTAAACTTAAGGAGATGAAAGTTTCCATTGATGATTCATTCTTAGTTCATCTCCTTCTGAATTCATTACCAGAACAATACAGTCACTTAAGGAGTTTGCACAAAAAGGAGAAGTGGACCTTAGATGAACTGATTACTATTTGTGTTCAAGAAGAATCAGAAGTAAAGAATAAGGGTAAGGCAGTGAGTATTAATCACATATCCAAAGCCAAGAATAAAATGAAGAAACACTTTATTTTCAATAAGGCAAGTCCCTCCACTTCTTCAGTCCAAAATGTCAAAGATAAAGGAAAATTTTTCAAAAAGAAAAGGGAACAGAAGTGTTTCTTTTGTAAAAAGGCAGGGCACTTTAAGAAGGATTGTGCTAGATTCAAGGAATGGTTGAGCAAGAAAGGTAATGTCAGTCATCTCTTTTCTTTAGAGACCACTAAACACAAAATTGATAATTCATGGTGGTTTGACACAACTTCACCCATTCATATTATCAACTCAATACAGGGATTATCAAGGATAACAATCCCAAGGCTGAATGAAACAAAAGTATGCAAATGGACAGGAACTAAAGGTGGAGGCTGTTGGAGAATGCAGATTATTATTTAAGAATAATTATGTTATAACATTAAACCATGTTTATTATATAACTAGAATAAGAAAGAACCTAGTGTCAGGTTCTCGAATTGTAAATGATAATAATGTATCATTCTATGCTGATAAAGATTGTATGTTATTCTATTTAAATGATGTGTGTTTTGGAAATGCATACTTGATAGATGGATATTGGCATTTGAATTGCATTAATGAAACCACAAATAGAGGATGCAAAAGAGAGATATATTGCATAAATAAAGTGACAGGAAGCATGAAGAAACATAAACAGAATGTCTCTTCATTCTTATGGCATAAGAGGTTAGGACACATATCAAAGTCTAGAATGCAGAATCTGATAAGACAAGGGATCCTGCCAGATTTGAATTTTGATGATT